AACCTGTGCCAAGTTCTGTCCTTGGTACCACGGCAAAGGCAAAGAAGAATCAACTCAAGTCTGAGCCCCAAGACTGCCCTGGCGGAATTGAGTTGTACACCTACACAACAGCCCGGTATCTGAAAGACACATGAGACAGAAAGGGAAGAGACAATTTTTTAAAAGCTGTCGTGGCTATTTCTGGGAGATGTCCAATGGAAGAGATGCAGAGTGAAGCCAAGCAGGCTAGAAGCACAGCTGCCATTAATCTGCCTTTCTCTGCCTCAGATCACCCAGTCACCTCTGCCTGCCAGAGCAGCCTCCCTAAACTGCCAGACTACCTCCCCTCACACAGATGGCAGAGCTAGCCAAAGGCAAGGAGGGGGGTGTAGGATGTGCACAGTGAGTGGCAGCTGGGGAGTTTCTTTAACTGTGTTTTTGTGTTGGCTTGCTTCAATTCTGGTTGGTAGTAGTTCTGCTTGCTTTGCACTTGCACACTAACAGCATGATTTTATTGAACAAATATTTAATAATTGTCGCTGTGCAGAGCCATGTGTTAAGAGATATGGTAAAGAATCAATATGGATTCTGTCCCTTGGTGTTTTAAAGAACACTTATGCATGGTTAAGTGTTAGTACATAGTTAAACGTGATGAGAGGAGTTGGTGCTACGGGTATTTGGAAAGGGAAGAGAGAATTTCTGGCTAGGTGTTGAAAGAGAAAATAAGGACAGGCTTTCAAAGAGGTAGCACTTGACTAAGAAACTTCCCTGGACATTATGGAACCACTGAAGACTTTGGCATTGGGAAGGGAGGTATCGGTTGCTATGGCAGCAGAGAGCGGGCTGGATTGGAGGCAGTGATGCCTGTAGGCGGAGAGACCTGTTAGGACACAGCTGCAAAAGGGCCCAGACACTGCAGCTAGAAGGGAACCCAGGACAGAGAAAAAGCAGAGATGTCCCACAGTATCTGGCTGGGGTGGATGGGAGGCTGGCAGTGCTCTGAACTGTGCAAGTGACCGCAGAAGAAGCAACAGTTTGCAGGGGGAGATGATGAGTTGTCCGGATGCTCTGAGCGTGACACACCTAGAGAACATCCAGCTGCCAGGAAGTGAGAACGGAGGCCCTGCAGCCTGGAGGAGAGGCCAGGGGTCCTGAGAGAGCCACCGAAAGGGACAGTGGAAACCAGGAAAGGGACTCCTTATAAAAAGAACCCCACAAGTTAGGCATCCATAGAGTTAGTTATCATGGGATTTTTTTCCTAGAGAGATTTATCACTCTATGTAAATTCCAGCTGAGAAGTGTAAACCTGCATATAGCTTGATTTTTAAAATCCAGGGAAGTGTTTAAAGTCACTTCTTCAATGATTTCAGGACAAAAACTCAATAATCTTTAAATAACATATGGAATTTGAGGTGATGAACTCATTTAGATTTTATATTACATTTTCCAAGGGTCTCTGTTTTATACTTTCTCAGACTTGAGTTTTTTTTTACTTGAATGTTCTAATTCCTCTGACTATACATTAAAAAACGTTGGAAAACAGAGAAACATAAAAAAAAAACAAGAAAGAAAGAAACACCAATAACTTAAGCACCAGAAACAAATAACTGTTTTGGTATTTTTCTAGTATATCTGTGTATACATATGTGTGATATATATGCACACACATATGTACTCACTACTCACATACCCATACACTTCATGAAAATGATTGTATAGATAATATGTGAACTCATGAATTTTTTTAGTATTATGAATCCCATTGTATATTCTATTTTACATTGCATTATTTTTAAATTGACATTACATTTGAACATTTTCCATGTCTTTAAACATGGCTCCAAAGGCTTCAGGTTTATAGACTGCTTAATATTTCATGACATGAGCCTATCCGACACTGAAGCACCCTCCTGTCATTGGACAGTTCTGCAAGGTGTGCACTTTGACAGGATCTGGTGTGATGACTTCCTTCACATGAGAATGACCACTTACTCCTCCTCATCATCTTCTCTTCTTCCCACCACAATCCCTGACATTGGGATTTTAAGAGGGAGTCAGTTCACTCCCCAGTAGAAGAGGTACTTGAGGGGTCAGAATAGTTAAGGCAATGGAGAATGAACAGGTTTACCCTCAAACCAACTGTTTCTTATGTCTTCCCTTTGTAATTCTTTTAAAAATCATTTTGTCTCCATCCCCACGCCCAACACATTCATACACATGTAAGAGTACATACATGTATACACATACTATAAATCAAGACCTAAACATGGGAAGTCTTTGTTAACATCTCTAAATGAGATCCTTTGTCATCATTCTTCAATATATACACTCCGCCTAAGATAAAAGTCCAGTGTCTCAAAGGCGAGCAATAGAAAGTTAAGTTTCGGCAGCAGAGCCTGCCCCTCGGTGACAGTGTGCTGAAAGGCCAAGGCCATGGCATGAACCCCAAGAGAGAGCAGAGCCCCTGCACAGGCATATGCATGAACAGGACTGGACAGAGCACCATTGTTTTGATATCCTTCTGTTTTCACAGGTGCCATAGAGTCATTTTATGAGTCTTCACTATGACCCATGCCATAGAAAGACAAATATAGCTATAGTTTTGCTGAATCCAGGTTTAAAGCTTCTTGTTTAAACAAAAACGTAATTTCTAAATCAGTTGAAAGCAAAGCCTAACCTCTCAAATTCTATACATTCCCCCTTTTATTCCCTCTTTTTCATTTCTAGCCTGTCTCCTTCAACATTACTGCCTCCGTTTTAAATATCATCAGCTGATAAATCAGTTGGCAAAGAGCTGCAACAGTTCATTCTAATACTGAAGATGACAAATTATAGCTATAAATTTCTTCAGAAGAGAATGCAATGATATGCATTTCTGCAATTAGAAATTGATGTAGGCATACTAGGGTTAGCTAAAATATTACTGCGAAGTCAATTTAATTTATTTCCTAATTAACTACTATTAGATTATGTTCCAAGTTATTAGAAGAAATTTGGAAGGGAGCATTTCATTAAAATACAGTTCTTTAGAAAGAAAATTTCTAAATTATTGGACATAAGATTTATTGTAAAGATATCACACTATTCTAACAGCAGACAGGATTAGCATTTCATATCCAATTTCATGTCTAGTAGAAGGCAGAAAACAATAGGAAGTTTCTCTAACTTGTAAAAACAGGGAGAAGAGCTTAATTTTAATATTCATTTCATTCTTGTGTTACAGCTGTGAGATTTTGCGTTCCCTCAAAAGGCAACATTCAGTTTCATGAACACTGTTACTTAAGGGTAATACATATACATACACCATGAAAATTGAGTCATACAAATAAGTTTTTTAAAAAACTTTATTCATACAAATACACATAGAAATTTAGTAATGTAAGATAAATAAGTAAATTAGTAACCCAATTGTTGTCCCTCCTGGGAAATCTATCTTCATAGCTTTGTTTCTCCTTTTCTTTCAAATTTAAATTCTTTCACATATCCCCTTACTTTTCAGTAATTTCTTTAGGAATTACCTCTTTATCACTTCCTCTTTGTTCCTTATAATCTCCATTTCCTCATGATTTCCATTTCGTGATTTTTTTTATCTTTCTGATCCACAGTATAACCAGTTTACTTTTTCTACCCAGAAGCTTTGCAAGCCATATATTAAAAAAACAAAAATACTACATCATTCCATTTGAACATTTTCCAGGTCTTTAAACAAAAACCTTAATTTACTTATTTAATATAAATGTAAACATGTATATTGAGTATAGATATAAATATTTATATTAAATATAGATATAAACATTTACATTGAATAGAGATATATAAATATACACTCATCCATCCAGGAATACATATAGAATACATGAGTTCCTTCAGGATTCAAAAGAGGGACTTCCTGTCATTTGTCACTTGCAAAATAAGCACCTGCTGCTCATATCCAATCAAGCTCTGCCCCAGGGTGACCTGTGTATTGAGCTCTGTCTTGCACTCTTGAGGGAGGGTCTATTATACTAGCTCTTTCACCTAAGACCCAGAAGTCATATATCTTCCACAAGCCAGGGGACTCGGGAATAAGAAAGTCTTGCCAATTGGAGACTTTAGTTGAATTCAGTGAGGTAGATTAGTGTCGTTTCTTGGAGTCCTGAAGGCCTCTGGGGCCTTCCACACAGCCTATCATATCATTCCTTGTAAATCCATTAGCCGTACAGACTATCATGTCACTTCTCAAGGCTTCTTTAGTCTCTCTCTCTCTCTCTCTCTCTAAATCGCACAGGTTTCCCAGGGCACCAGGTATACTAACAACAGTCATGACAATTGCAACCACCACCATAATAGCAGTTAATACTCTATCACAGAAAAGATCTTTCGTACTTATTATCTCATTTTAATTGTCCTGCCTTATGTTGGTAAGGATCTTGCTTTTGTTGATAGCTGCCTACTATATTCACTACTTCTCCTCCCCTTTATAAAGTAACCAAGTGGCTACTTTCCAGCCATTACTAAAATCCTTAGGTCCTGCCAAGAGAAGAAACCTCTTTGCTGGGTTATGTAGCACATTATATAGCATTGTCAATTCCCAGGTACATACTCTTCTATATTGCTTTCTCTTTCATCATAAGTGACACAGTTACTGTAATTGCTTGGTGAGCATCTGGAAGTAACATTAATAATGATGATGATAATGACCTCATAGGATGTATAATTTGGGGGTTTAAAGAACATTTACAAGCTTATTGTGTCATAGTTAATGATGAGGTGCCAAGTTTTCTTGCCACCACCCTTTCCCTTGGTATTTCCTGCTTGGATCAGAGAACTAATTATAGTCAACGGTACCCTTTCAAAGAGCATGCCCCATTCTAAACCATATGGTAGCATAAAGATATTGAACTGTTTGTGTGTTGTTTTCAAGACAATTTATTAATGTTGTTTTTGCATTTGTCTAAAAAATGTGTATAATGTAATTATTTAGTGTTTATTTTATTGTGTGTACCTTCTACTCAGAGGGTTGGCATTATTGTTCCTAACAGTGGCGGATACAAGCAGATCATGCCTTATGACCTCTACCATCCCCTTCCTCGGTACGTAAATCAATCGCCCTGCTGCTAGAACTAGTCAATCCATCTTCTGCTTCTTTCGTATGTGCATAGAGATTTTGTGTTTTTCTGTCAAAATAAAATGGTAGGTAGTATGTTTTGCAAGCCATCCTGAGCTCTGCTTTCGAGTAATACTGGCCCGCTCAGACTGAAGCCTGTCATTCAAAAACCATTTTAAGATAGGCTTGCGTTACATTAGAGTGGACACAGTAATTCACTCTGATTAGGTTCAGTGGATGGGTTTATGTTATGTCTTTCTTTCACTCCCTTTGTCCTTTTCTGAATTTCCTCTGCAATTGGACCCTAGTCACTAAAGCCCTGTTGCCAACTGCTAAACAAACATTGCCTGGAGTATTACCACAATACCATCCATGTGGAACTCCAGATGTGGTACTTCTCTGAATAGGGGCTTTAGATATCCTCCTTTTGTTCCAAAGTATGATAATTAAGTAAAAAAAGGGCAGGGTTTGGGGTTTTTTTTAAATATTCTTATTGTTCAGAAAGTTTGAGGGGACTTTGTTTTTCAAAACATTTTAAAATTCCATGTTCTATGTTGCTTTTTTAAAGCTACAGTAGCTCTGTAAAACTAGAAAACATTATGAAAGTTTTTTTTAAAGAACTTGTTCTCTTTATTAATATATTTATAAGAAAACAGGAGAAGCTGAAAAATATACTAGCTGCTGAGTATATTATCAGCCACACTGGAAACGGCTCCCCAGGTAGCAGGAATTAGCATTGGGTTTGAAATAACCACCGTGCGAGGAGAGACCTTTGCTCCATTCTCGGGGCTCATTAGGTCTTCAGGGAGTCAGCTGCTTTTTAGAACCCAGGGCTTAAAACAGATTGCAAACATAGTAGTTGAAAATAATCCACAATAGTTTGCTCAGTCTCAAACTAAACAAAGCCTGGGATATAATTTTATTGTGAACTATAAAATAAAGCAAAGTTTGATTGAAAATCTCCATATACTTAATGAATTAGAGTCCCAGTAAAGGCATTTAGGGCCATCTCGTCCAGCTCCCCAATGATGTTTCATCCCCCCATTCCTTCCCCCAAATCACACCAATCATATATAGAGACATATGTTTATACAAATATGCATAGATGTGTATCTAATGCATATGTATTCACACATGTATATACATACCAGTTGTGAAGCTACTTCAACAATACATTAGTTTTCACATACCAGTGCAAGTTGTCATCCAGTCTCTACTTAAATACTTCCAGTGATTGACAGGGAACTCACTTTTCACCATTTAATGGTAGCAGTGGAGAGGGGCCTTTATATTATATATAATTGTGTGTTTGTTTTTAAATTCTTCCACTTAGTAGTCAGCTCTCTCCCACATTCCTATGACTATATTGATAAAGATGATAAATGACTTTAGAATGCTACTGATGTATCATTTTGCTTGTTTGATCCAGAATCAAGCTTATATAGTAAACTCTTCTTGAAAAAAAATAGAATGAAAATATAAAAAGATTAATTTAGCTGAGCCAAAACTTCATTTGATTTCAATTTCTGTATCTGTAAAGCAAGACACATGTGTGTGCTTATGTGAAGGCTGTGTATTTCATGATAAAAACAAAGTTGGGTGTCAGAGTGAGTGAGCAACATCAAGCTTATGTTTTCCCTGTAATGGCACTCCTAAATTTCTTGAATATCTGTGCTCTCTTTTGTTTATATTTTTTTGGTATGCCTCATACCTGTCTTAGGTTAAACTTGATTTCTTCTGTGTTTGGCTTTCCTCCAAAAGCCTGAAGCCAGCAGTCTCAGTAGCAGCTTGAGATGAGCCTCCCTGATGTCCATTTGCACCTGTCCTGTGCACACATTGGCCTGTCCGTGCATCACAGGGGGAAAAGGCAATTAGCAAATGGACTATAGTTCTTATTTCTTGCACTTCTGTTACTGAACTAATTCTAAAGTTAGATATTCTGCTTTATTTATAAAGTCTTAGTAAATGGAAGCCACAATATGCTTTCATTTCATAAGAAGAATTGAGGCTCAGAAAAGTTTCTCAGATGGAAGCAGAAGGCCTCACTTATTGGAATTATTTAAATGGGCTTACGACCACACTGTCAACACAAAACACAATTAGTGAATTTTTATTTTTTTGTTTTTGCTTTTGGTTTTTACTATAACACGTATCTGAACAAAATATAAGAATGTAACCTGAAAAATTATCCTTCATTCATAATTACTATGTGCAACTTGTTCACGTCATTCTTAATTTTGAGAAGTTCTTAAACTAAACACACTGTGTGTTTAACAATGAAAAGCCAAAGGAGTTAAAATATATGATATATGAAAACTCATTTCTTATTTTTCCAGAAAAAGATTCTTGGACATGCTTTTCTTTTTCTTTTTTAAATATATTTTTTATTGATTTCAGACAGGAAGGGAGAGGGAGAGAGACAGAAACATCAGTGATGAGAGCAAATCATTGATCAGTTGTTTCCTGAATTCCCCCTATTGGGGATCAAGCCCACAACCTGGGCATGTGCTCTGATCAGGAATCAAACCATGACCTCCTGATTCATAGATTGAAGCTCAACCATTGAGCAACACAGGCCAGGCTTTTTTTTTTTTTTAATCCAAGCACTTATCTGGTCCCTGTATAAAGATACATCTCTCACCTTTTGTTATACATTCTTTAAAGCACCCAGTCATGCTTTGCTTTGAAATTCCTCCTAATACTATTGTTATGAAAGGATTCATTTAATAATTTTTCCCATATAGAACTATAGTTGCATGCTGTAACCATACTATAAATTCTTAGAATAATATTAGCATCATTTGTCTTTCTGTGACTACTGACATGGAAAAGGATACTTATGACTGTTCATGAAATTACACTCTGGATCAGGCCCCAGTGTTGAGACAGAAATTAATCACTCTCTCTTTAGAAGGGTCAAGTTTAGGGATGTTAAAGTACCAATTAAAACATGTGCTCCTTTTATGGCATCTTAATGTTCTAAGAGATTAAAGTACATTCAATAACATATTCCCACTTCACTGTCAGGTCAAATCCAAGGCGAGCATGTACTTCTATATGCAGCCCCGTTTCAGTCTGAATCGGACCTGTTTTCCACCTCCTGAGGGAAGGTCTCCAGAGAGCTGTGGAGACAAATGAGGACTGGTCTTACCTTTTTGGAAGAGAAGCACGCCACAGCGCTGCTTCATTCTCTTGAAAGGGATCAGAAAGTTTCCTAAGGGCTAAACCAAGGGCCTCAGTTTCCCCATAATAACATTTTCTTTTGAGTCTCCTGGGGAAATGTGCATAGGAAAATATTGTATTTGGCAACAAGTTTAGGCTGTTCGCAGTGGAGATAATAGTTGTTGCCTAGACTTGAGCAGTACAAAGAAAATGTGGAGGAAAATTCTCTGTTAAGCACACATTATACAGTCTCATGCAGGAGAGAAGTCAGGATCACATGTACATGAAATCCTACCTAGAGAATAATTTCTGTCTCCATACTATACCTGTGCAATATTTTGTGTTTTTTAAAGAAGTTTTTATTTATTTTCAGAGAGAGGAAGTGTGAGGGAGAGAGAGAGACAGGGGTGTGAGAGCAAAACATCGATCGGCTGCCTCCAGATTGACCCTTCGGTGCACAGGGTGTCACTTCAACCAATTGAGCCACACTGGCCAGGGCCACTTGTGCAATATTTTTAAATTTAACTATTCAAGTGGATTAACTTGGTGATACTTTGTGTTGCTCTCATTAAAATGATCTCTCTCCTAATTCTAAGAGAAATCTTAAAGTTCCTCACCAGTCCTCATCAACAAGCAGAATATATGCAAGAAAGACAAGCTCAGTTCCAATGTTTCTATTTTTTTTTAAATTCTATACTCTCTATATCTACAGGAGGAGAGAAAAGGTTCAGGCTGATATCTCTCTGCATCTGCTCCCAAATGCTTCAGAGCTATGGGCAGATCTGAAGAATTAATGGGATTCTCTTAAACGTTATGGATAATATTGTTATTTTCTCCATTACTTACCTGTATTTCTAGATTCCAATGCCATTAACCTTCCAACCGAAACCAAACTTCCTCAAAATTCCAGGAGTTCTTTATTGGGGGAATGCTAACTGCTAGTATCCCTCAATGGAACAAGTAGGTATTACCTGTACTAGCACGTTTGCTCCTTAGTGTAACGATGGCACAGTTTGGACTTCAGAATTGTGCTGAATCCATGTACAGGGTAATTGCAAAGCTGATGATTGTAGAAGCGAGAGGGGAAAGTGTTCAGTTTACCTTGATCTTTCATGAGCTTCTCCTGTAAAAGAATCCGGAAGCTTAGTAATAAAGTATTGAATTGAAAATAAAAAGTGTCAGCCCAGGTGCAAACTATATAGTGTTAATTGATTAATCAATTTTAGTCTTGACATAAATATTTAATGATTTAATAACATATTTCTATATTCAGAATATATATTTATAAAACATAATATACACACATGTAAAACATGTGTGTTAAAACTAGAGGAAGAAAGACTGAACAGCTCTCTTTTCTTTAAAAATATTTTTTTTTTATTTCAGAGAGGGAGAGAGAGAGAAACATCAATGATGAGAGAGAATCATTGATCGGCTGCCTCCTGCATGCCTCCTACTGTGGATTGTGTTGCTCTCATTAAAACTATATCTCTCTTAATTCTAAGAGAAATCTTAAAGTTCTTCAGCCCTGACCAGGAAGCAAACCATGACCTCCTGGTTCATAGGTTGACGCTCAACCACTGAGCAACACGGGCCGGGTGAACAGCCCTCTTTTGAGTAAGTTACAGACAACACAGATATCTCTGTGGACAGCTCTCAAAACAGTAATTTCTTACATTTGTGTAGGGCTTCAAGGTTTACAGGGCACTGTTGCCAACATTGACTCCTTTTCTCTCACTCATCAGATTTCAGGCAACAGATGGCTTTTAGCTCTCTGGACCATAGCTTCTCAGAATCCGATGGCCCCAATAGGCACTGGGATTGGGGTTGGTTCAGAAAGGTCACTAAGGAGGTTTGGCAATGTGCATGTCTGCCCTGATAACTCCCCTTGCTTCTGTAGGTGGGAGGCCACCCCGTGGACCGCGTGCTCCTCCTCGTGTGGGGGGGGCATCCAGAGCCGGGCAGTTTCCTGTGTGGAGGAGGACATCCAGGGGCATGTCACCTCAGTGGAAGAGTGGAAATGCATGTACACCCCTAAGATGCCCATCGTGCAGCCCTGCAACATTTTTGACTGCCCTAAATGGCTGGCACAGGAGTGGTCTCCGGTAACTGTGCCTTCTTTCTTTGTTCATTAAGAGAATAAGTCCACTCTTCCCTCTCATCACCATGCCCCCACCGGCTACCCTGTGCAGCTCCCTACTTCTCCTCTTGAAGTGTCTAGAAATCTACCAATTTTCTCCTGAAGTAGGCATGCCCCAAAGCCGGCATCACCAAAAAATGAGTAAATCTATATCCCTATCTTTCTTCAAGTTTCTTCAAGAAGCCTCTACCACCTCCATGTCCCCTCAAGGACAAGGAGGCACATGTTTGTCAAGAGTAAGTGAAGCCAAATGACTATTCCTGAATCCGTGAAAGAGCTCAGTAGACCTAAAGTTTGGTGTTTTGTTGTATTTTTCTTTTAAATTTCTTATCCTTTCTCTATATCCAAAAGGGGATTGAGTGGATTAAAATTAAAGCTATGTATATCATCCATTGAAAAAAAAAGATGCAATAAAAATCACAAAATAACTGGAAGAGATGAAGTAGAATAACTAAAACAAATACATTCTAGATGTTAGAGAAGATGCTGCAGCAGCTTAAACAAAATTATTTGGATTTGGGGTTTCCTGGCTGCCAGTGCAAAAAGGTCTGAAGTAGCAAGGGAGATAGAAAGATGGGGGCCCTTGTGCCCTCGGTCACAGAGATGGCAAAAGACTTTTCATTTTAGCTAAGTGGCTTTGTGGCAGCAGATCCCAGCTGTGACAGTTCGCTTTTTCTATACTTGCTCCCAGGCGTATAGAACCACTGAGGTGTTGTCTACATCTGGCCATTGAATCAGTTCCTTTAAACACTTTTCTCCATGTCAGTATCATCAATTGGATCAGCCAGGCTGCAACATAAATTAGCTATGATAACAGTTGAAAAACTTTCTATGTCCATGTCAGAGCTAGCATTTCCCATATTTTGAACCTAACCATCATTAGCAAAGGGACTTATTAATATGAAAATGCCTTGTTAGTCATCAAAATGAGCACACTCTCTAGTTTCTTCTCTCCTTTTTGCTGCTTGGTTTGGGACTTTGCACAAAGTGGGTGTTGAAGGAATGCTGATTGAGTAATCCAAAACGAAGTGATTGCATCTTCAGCCAGCTGCACCCTAAAAGCCCAATAGCATAAAGACCCCATGATGGGTAAGAAGTGGTTTAAATTCATCAGGAGTCCTTATATACACAAGCAGCCCTTTGAAAAACCTCAGTGGGAAATGGAGAAGAGGAAACAAAGCTTTGCCTGTGAGTCTCCTCTCTCTCTTTCGTTCTCCTTCTAGTGCACCGTGACGTGTGGCCAGGGACTCCGGTATCGCGTGGTTCTCTGCATCAACCCTCGAGGAATGCACTCAGGAGGCTGTAACTCCAAAACCAAGCCCCACATAAAGGAGGAATGCATCATCCCCACCCCCTGCTATAAACCCAAAGGTAAGTTGGCAGGTGCTCTGTGATCAAGCTTTTTAGTATGTGTACTTGGGTGCTGTTTTAAACTCCTTAGAATATTGTTAAGTATCCCACGTGTTCTTAGTAACTATTCTTTGTAAACTTAGACTCTACTAAGGGGACTTAACTTTTTAAAAGATCTTTCCAATAGTCTTGCTTGCAAATTCTTATAAAGCACTACATATTTATATAATGCTCTCCTGAGTCATAACGTTGTTTGAAGACTGTTGCTGAGGAATATCAGATAGATGTGCATGCCAGGAGATGTTATAGAGATATTGTAGAAATATGTGTGGTTAACTGTCCACATTTCTGGCTGATAAAAACAATGCAGTGAATTCTAAGTGTCCATTTTGCTAAGCAGAAAATACATTGGGAAGCCTAATACCTCAAACAGATGAAACAGAAAGCTGTTGCTTTTTATATTAAAAATCAACACATTATGAATGTAGTGGATTCCAGAAACATAATTTGAAATGAAACATTGAAATAAATTAGAATTTAATAGTTACTGCAAATAATTTTAAAAAGTAGGCTTTAGAACAGTTCTACCCTAGTGAGCAAGATTACAATTATGCTGGACCGCTCAGATTAGCATGAATATTAATCTGACTTCTCTGCTAATATTGATAGAGTCTGTGTCAATGAAGTAGAAAATTCCAAAGTCACAAACCATTCAGAAGTAAAGGACTTTTTATACAAGCTTCCTCCTATTTTTAATATTGAATAGGATTCCCATTTTCTTCTCAATTTATTTTCTTAAGCCATTAAATTTCTCCAAAAATCAGCCACTATATAGCTCTTTATTATACTACAGTTTGCCCTTGGTAGGAATGACTAGCATTGTGAAATCTAAATTAATGATATAAAAGAAAAACAAAAGCATCCTGGAAATCCTGATTAATTTTAATTTATCACCTCTCTCTGTAAGCCTTAGTTTCATCTGTAAAATGGGAATAATAACAGTAGCTCCCTCAGAGACCATATGAAGATTTAATGAGATACAATGCAAACAGGGTGCTTAGCTCACTGCCTAGCATGTAGTAAGTGTTCTATAAATGTTATCTTGACTATCATTAGCATCCTCATATGTGGGAGGAAGTACATCTGACAGGATTCAGTTCAAATAGGCAGTAAAGTACAACGAGCCCACTATTCGTGCCAAGCTGAATGCTTCCTTATTGAAAGACAGGGATGGCTCATGCTGTCAGAGATGGCGTCATTGAGTCAATTAGCTGGGAGACTCGGACTAGTTGTTAAATGATGGTTAAACCCTCAATTTTGCAGACCGCCATTTAATGGACAAAATAACAGTCTGTATGTCATACGTGAAATTAACAACCTGTTAATTTTTAAATGTTTTTAATCAATATTTGCTTATATTTAACAGGTTATTTTTTTGTTGTTATTCACTGTTATTTTTAACAAATTTTAGCTAATAGGCCCTATGTTGGGGAAAAACACTGTAGTAATTTCACCAAATGTCAATAAATATTACATATCTACAACTATAGTCTACATATGTAAATCCTAGGATCGCCGCTTGTAAACAGTATTTGGCAAATGATTAGCATGTGATCACACCACATCACACAGGGTAGATGGTTCTGTTGCCATGTGGCGTGACTTTTGCAGCAGTTTTAATTGGTGCCAGCCGATGTGCCCACGTGTGCTAAGTCACGCCCCAGCCGCGTGCATCTGTTAACTCACAGTGACTGGTGAATGCACGCATTTACTAGACCTATTCAGAATAAGTTTAAAATTATTGCGATACATAGAGAAAACTTTTCTGTTAAGCTTTTCACACATACTTAATTTTTATTACACAACTGTATCTACATAACTAAAAACAGGTAAACTAATTGGCCAATTTTTTAACAGACACATTCAGAAAATCTACTTTTTTATATAATGGACTTTCAGCTTTAACGGACACCCCCTTGCCCAAATTAGTCTGTTATATCGAGATTTTCCTGAATATAGGTACCATATTGCTGAGTCTAAAATGTTAGCCAATCTTTTGGGCTTTGGCAGTTTTATATTTCTCACTCGCTTTGTTTTCTGACCGTAAACAATTGCTGCACACAGAAGACAAGAAGCGATGCCCTAACTTAAAATAGTCAATTAGTCATTAGCTCTGTCTTTACCAAACCACTTCAGAAAAAGAAAAGCAGTTTGTGGTTAAGTATCAAAAATAAAATCGGGATTTTCACAACTAAGTAGTGAGTCTGGCTCTACTTAAGCATCATTAAAATGCTATATAATTCTATGGTGTATGCCTATATAGACATTTCTTTCATCTTTGCAATTATATGTTATAAAATGGTGATAGAGCTTCACTGGCTTATACTATAAAGCAAATATGCCTATAAATGACCCTAATAAAATATGTCAGAATGGAAATCTTGGCAGTTACTTCTGTAGGAGCAGTTTTAATCTCCCTCTTTCTTTTTCTCCACAATTTCTCCCCAGGAAGTAGTTAGGAAGCTTGTTCTGAATTGTTTGGCCAAAGCTACAGAAATAGGTGAAACAAGTCAAATCATGGGTTATTATCCTTCAGTTGCTCATATTCCAATTGTCAATGAGCCTTGGGGTGTATAGTGAATGAATCGGATATCTGAAGCAATGGTTTGTAAATATCAGAGTGGCAGTTCTGTTTGGTTTTGACAATATGGCATAGATCACACTCAAAGGCAAAAGAAAAGCAAATTAGAATTTATGAAAGTAACACGGTATAATTTTTTGTACTTTGTGTTTGTTTTAAAAGGTAAATATTGCTCTATCTTTTCAACAGAAAATAGTGAAAAGATACTTTGATGATATATTGAGCTAGTGCTCCTAGAGTTATAACTTTCATAATAATATATTGTAGGGGGAAAACATACACAGTATTATTAAACATGTTAAAATCACATTCTTTTTTTCTGGATATAATCATCATCAGAGGCAGAAATTTACCTAAAAACATTATTTGCAGTTATCAACATAGCTTGTGGGTAATGTTCATACATAGCTTGTGGGTAATGCAAACTCAAGAGCTAGTTGGGGTTCTAACCTCATCTCTTTTATGTTCATACATTTAATTCTCAGAGAAAGTTCCGGTAGAGGCCAGGGCGCCGTGGTACAAACAAGCTCAAGAGCTAGATGAAGGAGCTGCTGTGTCAGAAGAGCCCTCGTAAGTTTGAAAACCATAAGTTGTTTTGCTCTTAAGGCCGATCGGGGTAAAGAAGGCCGTGTCTTGCTGGTTGTGGCTTTCATAGGTTCTGAACTAAGTGCAGCCCTCTTGCCAAGCGTGAAGAGAGGCTCTGGGCTGTCAGCTTGGAGATCCATCTGTTTCAAAGTGCTTCTCAGAACAGGACTGCTCCCTAAATGCTTGTCCATCTTGAAGTAAGAAAATGAAAGGGTAGTGCCTACGCTATTCTCCAAAATCTGACTTCCTCTTTCCCAAGAGGCCAAATGTGACAAGGCCCAGCTGATGATGACATAGATTTGAGGTAGAAGCCTGGGCAGCTTTCACGCTCCTTATCGCTCAGCTTTGGATATAGTTACTCGCAAAAAATAAAAGTGAGTGAGATGTATGTGAGGGCAAAGGAAGTTGATTAGCGTTTCCTTTCTCTTTCCTGTGATCACATGGATACCAGGTCTTTGCCTCACTTGATCACGGTCTCATTTCTGCTCGGTTTTATCAAGGCCATCAAATTTGTAACACCACTAGGCACAAATTTTTCACAGAAAAGAACGGTTCGTCCATTGGGTAACACATTTCGTACTTCAGAGGACAATAAGCAAAACACAGCTTGTTTCTGTACCACAAAGTTACCACAGCACCTTTTTCTACTTCTCTGAGAAAGGGCTTTAAGAAAGAATGCCTGACCACGGCAGAGCTTGGGAGGAAAGGCAGTGGCTAAAGGTCGCAGTGCCACGTTTTTCTTTTCCTTTCTCTCCTGCCAATACCGGGCCTGACAGGCCTTCTTGCTGCTGAAGAGGGAGAAAGCAGTTCATTTTAGACCAATAGTAAGTCTTTCATCCGCTGAGGTCCAGGCTAAGACGCTATGTAATTGGAGCCAGTTACTCCTTACATATCCTCTTAAGTTAAATGTTGAAAACCAGGTATGTATTATTTTACCTAAATAATATCTGCTCTCCCATGCACTCTATTTTGTCATTTAGCATAACCCTACATGGAATATTGTATTATGACCAATGTTAAATAGCACAACAAAGTTAAAATTAAATCCAGACATTTTGCATCCATAATTAAACATCCTTCCCATTATTAGACACCTCTCAAGTGAAGGCTGGAAGAAGCATTACCTATGCTCTGCCATATTTTATAATGAGTATTTTCCACTAAAGGTCTGTTTAAGATGCATTACGTTTAACTTTAATCTTAATAAAATTCTTAAAGTAGTTAAACATATACTTTTAGCCACTGGAACTCCAGCCATATATTAGATGATTAAACTTTATTCTCAGTGTAATGGAATTGCCATCTTGGCATGATTAATCTGAACTGAAGTCGATTGTAATTGGAGTGCTGGTGCCAGGTACAGGAAATGTATACTATTATGCTCAGAACAATTACTTTTATACCAAAATGAAATAAATGACAGCTTTAGGATAATGTAGTGAAAGGTATATGGTTTCCACACTTTAATACACTTTACATGTTCAGTGCACCGAACCGTAGGAAAGGTCCAACGTGTCACATTATATTTTTTATTGATTTTGAGTTTAAAAAACATAATTTTGCATGGGCTTAATTCTTTCTCTCTCTTTTTTAACCACATGACTAGTTTGTAAATGTATGTAGCAACCTATAATTACTCTCCATAGTATAATGAAAAAATGACATACTGTCAGCAAGTCTTCCCTCCCCACACCGACGAGACTCGCATTGCTTAAATTAAACTGTAACGTTCAGAAGCTGTGGCTGTCACTTCTGCGACAGAGAAGCAGGAACAGTGGCCCAGAACTATTATCTCTCACATTGGCTCCAGTTAACCTAGACAATTCTGTAGTAAAACAGCAAATATCATTTATTTCCCCTTATTTAAAATAAAACCAGCATCACTAGCCTGTCTCATTAAATAATGTAGGGAAAGTCTTTAGCGTATGGAGATACTATTATTGAATATTAGGTATTTTTGGTAACCCCCAAATGAAAAAAAAAATGGTTAGCACTCTGGCCAAAAACATGTTGGAAAGCAACCACTGTAAGATATGACCTGCCAAGGAATAACTAAAATTTTCTAGAACAGAGGTTTGTGCCGGTAGTGCCGGTTCACTAAACTGACGCTATACAGAAGATGCAAATACATATGCCAGTCTCCTGGGAAGGCTGGACTAAGTACTGAGATTGGGTCACGTTGTGGCAACGCACTTAATATATTGCGATCCATGTTATCAAGCTGCAGCCTCATTCAGAAATTCTTTTAGACTTTGATTGCTTTTTCCTCAGCAGCAAACTGGTTTATTTATGCCGCACTTGATTTATATGGTCCCAAGGTAGGAATGTAGTAATGAATGGATTGCTTTGACATAAGAATTGATTCCCTAACCCACTTGTGGGAGTCAGACCCTCTAAACTGATTTTTCACTGGTGGCCATGGTTTCTCTTGATTCAGGGACATGTTTTTTATCAGGTTTGTCTGACAAACATCAGCAAGAATGTTTAAGCAAGGTAGTTTTGATTCTCTCCACTGAACAGGACAGTGTGAACAAGGTCCAACCCTAAGCAATGTGAGAGGTGAGCCAATAAAGTCGGTCAAGCATAGACGATCTTATGAATAAGACATCCTTGCTTCCGAGAATGTCCGCTGAGGAATCCGTAGAAATCTCTGCTACCCGATTCACACAGAAAGCATTATGGTTAGAGATAGATTTCTACAACTAACAGATTCTGGGAGCGTTGCATTTTTCTGAAGAGAAGAGGGTGCCATTCTAGCACTAGAAGGAGGGAGATGGGATATGACTAATGGACTTCTCCTCTGCTATGATTTGAACTCCTTCTGAATTTGCCTCCAGCTGATGAGAGTATTGTTAGGTTTAGAACGTGTCGTGTAAAATACCAGATTGAGCCCAGCTGATGGCCTCCTCTGATAAATATGTGGGAGTTGCTTTCTAGGGATGTTTTTAAACCCTCAAAATTTTACTTTTATTTGGTGAGGGATCAGAACTACAATGTGGTAGAAGAGTTATATTTATGAATCAGGTGAGAGCTAAAGAAATTATCAACTTGAGTTCCAACCTTTTTTTCCCCCTTACTTTCAGTCTTTGCTGAGATGTAAGTGTAAATATTACAACCACCTCAAGCCAAGTGAATGTTATGAATACTTTGACAGCTTAATTTCTTTTTTCTTTTTTTTAATCCTCACCCAAGGAGTGAGGATATTTTTTCCATTGATTTCTAGAGAGAATGGAAGAGAGGGGGTCGGGGAAATGAGAGAGAGAGAGAGAGAGAGAGAGAGAGAGAGAGAGAGAGAGAGAAAGATTAGAAAGAAAGAAAGAAAGAAAGAAAGAAAGAAAGAAAGAAAGAAAGGAAGGAAGGGAGGAAGGAAGGAAGGAAGGAAGGAAGGAAGGAAGGAAGGAAGGAAGGGAGAGAGAAAGAAAGAGAGGAAGAAAGAAAGAGCAATGTGAGAGAGACACATTGATTGGTGGCCTCCTGTAGGCACCCAGGTCAGGGATTGAACCTGCAACCCAGGTATGTGCATTTGACCAGCAATCAAACCTGTGACTCTCTGGTGTGCAGGTCGATGCTATAATCACTGAGCATGCTGTCCAGGGTGAGAGCTTAATTTCTTGAGCCAAAAATGATACTATGGTGACCTCTAGAACATGAAAAGATATAGTTCGTCTACTATTGCTATACAGGGAGTTAATAAACTGGCCTTTTTTTAAAGCCTAATCTAACTAAAAGAAATTATTCATTTCCTTAACTCCTCAGGCCACTAAGGCCACCAATGCCCCAGACAGTGTCATCTGTTAAGGAGGCAGGTGTAAGGAAAAGGTATGGCCTGGATACTCCAGATGCTCGGCTGTCTGCTCTCCCAGCGAAGGCATCCCAGGGAGAGGCAGGGAGGACTGACTAAGTGGGCACCTAGGTAGTGAGGTTCCTCCCAGATTTATTTCAGATGCTGGGAGTTCTGCTTGGATGGCTCAGAACAAGCAAAGGTGATTCCTTTGGGCACTACATGATCAGCACAGCCATTTGTCCAGCCATCCCTCCAGCAAACCCTGGCACACAGGTGGAAGGCCATACCGGTGCCATCCTCTTGAAGGTAGGATTGAGTGGTCCTGCGTGCCTTGAGCTTGCACTTAAGAAATCTTGAGTTATCTCACTCAATTTTCAGTTAGCAGCTTTACTACAGGGTTGGGAAACATTCGGCACAGTATGCAGGCCTTAAACATATTGCCATAAATAACCTTAGTGTGAGCCATTTCAAAAAGGAAGAGGAAGGAGGCAAGCGAGCAGGCAGAAGGCAGCAGTAATATCTGGATGCCAGATGGCATCAGCTTAGCAATGGGGCTGATTCAGTAAGAAGCAAAGAGAAATTCCTGCCATGCTTCTGTGTGGACAGAACCCACAAGGAATTAGGTCCAGAAAGAAAAGCTGATAGAGTCATCATGGCAATCCTATAGTCCTGAAATGCCGTGTTTACCTTGTTGGAAATAGCATTTAGATGTATAATATTTAAGCATATGTTTACATTAATCCATATTTATATCCAGTAAGTTGTCTGAGAATGTGGATGGTTTAACTTGGTGGTTAGAATGTGAATTCATATTTTAAGAGAAGAAAAGTGTGCCTAGAAATGTTAATTATGTGACATGTGTTTTTCCCTCAAAGAATATTTAGGGAATCAAACATCCATAATAGATCCTAATAGTTTGGGTTTTTTTATATCCTCACAAGGTGCCTGAATTACATTCTCTTCGTGTATTTCAGGCCACAGAAAATAAAAGGAAATATATATATATATATATATAT